CCTCCCGCCGTCCTTCCCCGCCCCACCCCATCCCTGCCATCCCTCCCACAGGAGATGTTCGACATCGTGCTGGACGAGAACCAGCTGGAGGAGGCCTGTGAGCACCTGGCCGAGTACCTGGAGGCCTACTGGAAGGCCACGCACCCCCCCAGCAGCAACCCCCCGAACCCGCTGCTGAACCGCACCATGGCCTCGGCGGCGCTGGCCGCCAGCCCCGCGCCCGTCTCCAACCTCCAGGTACAGGTGCTCACGTCCCTGCGCAGGAACCTCAACCTCTGGGGCCGGGAGGCCACCCCCAGCCCCCCCAGACCCCCAGTCGAGGAGCACGCGCTGTGAGGAGGCGGCGGCGGGGACAACTCCCCCCTCTGGGTACCCCTGGGATCGGGGACATCCAGGGAAACACGGCCACACCCCCCTCCTGGGTGTGGGGCCAGCCCTGGGTCACCTGCCCTGGGGACCTGCTCTCCACCCTGGGATTGAGGAAACCTGTGGGGCCCCCCCGCAGGAGTGGGACTGTCCCTGGGATTGCTCTATCTGGACACCTGGGCCCCCCCAAAGGAACTGGAGCCCCCCGGCATAGGACTGTCCCTGGGATCTCCCCGCCCTGGGGACCTGTTTTCTCCTTGGGTTTGGGGCCATCCCTGGGACTGGGGTCACCTCAGGGACCTGCTCCCTTTCCCGGATCCGGGCCATCCCTGGGATCAGCCCTGGGGATCTCTCCCTGCCTGGGACTGGTGCCAGCCCTACATTTGGGGTCTCCTGGGGACCCTCCCGAGGCCTGAAGCCCAGTCTGGGGATTGGGAATCCCCAGGATCTGCCCCCTTCGAGACCCCCTCCATGCGTCTTATGGGCTGCTGGGGTGCCAGACCCCCCATTCCCACACCTCTGCAGGGGGGCCGTGGTGGGGTCGTGGCTTTTGGGGTGTCCTGGTGTGGTCCAGCTGGGCAGGGGGGGCACAACCCCCATTCCCACCACGGCCATTACGGTGCTGAGCCCGAGGGGGTCCTGCAGCCCCCCCGGGGGCAGGAGGCAGTGCTGGGGGGTCCTGCAGCACCCCCGAGAGCAGGAGGCAGAGGAGGGACGAGTGTCCTGTGTCGTCTGTCGCTAATTCTCCCAGCGAGCCGGACGCTGCTGGTGCTCCATCCCCCCACCCTGCACCCCCATCCTGCATCCCCCCACCCCTGCACTGCTCCCCCCTCTCCCTGCCCCGGTGACCCCCGGGCTGAGACCTGCTGCCCTCGTGTCACGAGTGAGCGACACGGGCAGGCCGTGCTGGGCAGCGTGTGCCCCCCTCCCCACAGCCAGTAACCCCCCCCACTAACCCCGTGCCCGTCCATCCCCGCATGGTGTGGTTGCTTCTCCCCCCCAGGGTCCGTTCCCGGAGGGGGAGCAGGGTCGCCCCCGGCCGGGCCCGGGGGGCCGCGGGCAGGGCAGAGCCCCCCCGGCCCCCGCCCGCCCCGGCCCCCGCAGCCTGTGCCGCCAGGACACCTTCGACTCGGAGCCCGCGGGCAGCCGGGACTCGGAGCCCGGGGATTCCTGCTGCATGGACATCGAGATGGACCCCGTCGAGGAGGAGCCCCCCGGGGACGGGGCCGAGGAGGGCCGGGGGCTGCGGGGCCGAGCCAAGGGCCAGGAGCCCCTGGGCCTGGGGGAGGGCGAGGGCTGGGGGCAGGACGTTTACATCCGTTAGGGTGAGGGGGTGCGGGCAGCGCTGGTTTTGGGGGGTGGGAGACCCTCCCCGCTTGCCTTTGTGCCCCCCCTCCGAGCCCGGCCAGCAGTGCCACGGGGAGCCCCTGCTTTGCCCTGGGGGGGGGGTCCCCCTGCCCAACTCTTTGGTGAGGGGGGGTCTCCCTGTGCCCCCCTGCCACAGCCCCCCCAGCATCTCGCGGTGCCTCGGGCCCCCCCTGCCTGGCAGGGACAGCAAGTGACCAAAGGGGACCCGACGTGTCCCCGTCCCCTGCCCCGGGTGTGGGGTAGGGGGCTGTGCTCCACCCCCAGCCCTGCCTGCTGGCTGCCCCCCCGGGTGCCCCCCGCTTCTCCATGGTGCTCTTGGCCCCCCGGGCTGGCCGTGGCAGTGGGGGGGTCCCTGCCAGCTGCCCCCCACCCCAGCCAGTGCCTGCCCACAGCCCCCCGGCCCCCCACCCCGGGGGCGTGCATGTGTGTGGTGTGTGCAGGGCTTGGGGAGGGCTCCTGCTGCCCCCGGCTGTGCCCCCCCCGGGGTGCTGCCTGCCCGGGGAGGGGCGGGGGCAGTTTGCATGTGTTTGCCTTGGAGGGGCTCTGCCTGAACTGGGGGGGTGGGGGGTAAATCTGAGCCAGTTTTGGGGTCTAACCCGTGCTAACAGCTGCCCAGCCCTGGCCTGCCCTGCGGTGCCCGGAGGGTCCCGCTGCCCTGGGACCTCTGGGGTGCACTGGGCAGTGCCAGGCCCCTGTCCCACCCCCCCTAAAACCCCTCTGTGCCAACCTCCCCGCCGTGCCTGTCCAGCCATGTGTCTGTCTGTCCGTCCGTCCGTCAGCCTCTGTCTGTCCCCCCCTTGGCCCCCCCAACACCCTGGGGCACTGCCTTGTCCTGTACCTGCCCTGGGGCGTCCTTTGTGCCCCCCCCCCAACTCCACGGGGGTGACCACACCAGGGTGGGGGTGGGGACACCCCCCATCCAGCCCTCACCGTGGGGCTGGGTTTGTCTCACTTTATGGGGCAGCCCCCTGCCCCCCACCCCGGGGCAATCCTGGGGGTCCCCGGGGTCACTGCCTTACCCAGACCACCAGCCCAGGGCGGGGGGCTCGGGGGCACCCAGCTCTTGCTCTGCCAAGCCGCCCCCACCCACGTGTGCCTCAGTTTCCCCCCTTTTTTTTCGGGGGGGGGACTCGGTGTCACTGCCTGCCAAGTGCTTTGAGCCCCCCCTGCCCCAGTGCTCGCCCTCGTGGTGGCCACAACCTGAACAGTGGGGACCCCCCCCCACCCGCGGGCAGAGGGACGTCCCGTATTTATGTCACTCCGCAAACTTTTAATTTAAAGACCTGACAAAGTGTATTTTATTTATTTATTCTCGTTGGTTTGTGTGTGTGTGTGTGTGTGTTTGGGGTTGGGGGGGGGACTCGCCCCGCTCGCTTGGTTCTTTGTAATAAACATTTCGGTGAGATCTGTCCCCACGGCTGAGCCTGGTGGGGTCCTGGGGATCGGGGAGGGGACACGGGGGGGGGGCTGCAGCCACCGGGGCTCAGCTCAGCTCTGCAGAGACCCCCACATGTCCCCCCGGTTGGGCCTTGGGGGTGCCCAGGGAGGGGGTGAGGCTGGGATGGAGCTGGGACCTGCCTGGGGAGGGGGTGAGGCTGGGATGGAGCTGGGACCTGCCCAGCTCCGGGCAAGGGGCACAGACCCGATGTGGGGGTCGGGGGGGCTCTGGCCCCCCCTCTGCCAGGGCACCGGCAGCTGTCGGGCTCAGCACGGTGCTGGGCCGGGTTTATCGGTGCTGGGCCGGGTTTATCGGTGCTGGGCCGGGTTTATCGGCACTAGGCCGGCTCTGGACACGCCATGGACACGCTATTTACAGGGAATAAATATGGAGCTGGAGCTCAGGGCTGCCGGCACCTCCACTCCATCTTCTCCAGCTGGTACTCGAACGCCTTCCTGGGGAGAGGACACGGGGTGTCAGTGGGAACAGGGGCATCAGTGGGAACAGGGACATCAATGGGAACAGGGGCATCAATGCCACCCCAATCCCACCCCCAAAAACCCAGGGTACACCCCAGAGCCCCCCACTCCCCCTCCCCACCCTGGGGGTCCCCATACTCACTCTCTCCCGGGTGGGCTGGGCCGGCAGACCAGGCCGGCCTGGCAGGGGCACACTTGGTTGATGCTGAAGGCGAGACCCCCAGGGGGCACGTGGCAGCTCTGGGCCAGCGCCAGGCGCCGCTGGCACACGAACTCCCCGTGCTGCCGGGCACAGCAGCCGCCCGCCCCACAGTCCTCGTCCCGCTGGCACCGGGCTCCTGGCAGGGCAGAAAAACAGGTTAGGGGATGGGGACCCCCCCCCACCCTGACCCCAGTTTGGGGACCCCCATCACCCCCTGGTGCAGCACCACCCCATCAGCATCGCGTCCTGCGGCTGTGACATCCTTTGACACCAGGGGGTTGGTCCCCTTGTGCCCCCCCAGCCCAGACCCTCCACTCACCCTCCTGCCCGGGGGGCACGGGCTGCTGGCACTTGCCGAACATGCAGAGGAGGCCGTGGGCGCAGTGGGGGTCGCGGCGGCAGAATTGCCCCGCGGGGCGGGCGGGCAGGCACAGCCCGAAGTGCTCGTCACAGAAGTGGCCCTGGGCACAGGGGGTGGCCGGGCTGCACGGGGTCACCTGCGAGGGGGAGGACACAGC